TTGCGAGACAAACACGGTCGTGTTTTACACGTTTGCAAGAAGTTCGTACACAGGCGAATTGTAAATCAGTGGCCAGGTTTAGTGGTAAGCTAAATGCGAAATCAGCGCCATCAAGATCTGACTACGAATCGTGTGACAATTATGGTGCGGTGAAGAAGCCTGTAGTTGCAACCAGTAAGCCATTGTTGAATAGAGTGTCACAGACGACACCGCAGTTTGTGCAGGAGAAGAGAGTTACAGTTTCAGAGTCCAGTTCTGACTTCTCAAGTTTTCAAGGTATTACTAGTCAGAGTAAAGGTATAAAACCCTTAAGTATTTGTGAGGAAGAACCCAAATCATCTACTGCTGTTACTGAAGAGTTTGAAAATGATGAAGTCGACCAGATAGACGACGGTAAAGTAGATATTTGTTACAATGATCATGATAGTGCACATTCGTCTTTGGCTGATCATGATGAGATGAGCGGAATGCCTACTACTGCTGAGTTGAACAGAGGTTCTCTACAGCTTGAGCGTGAAGTAGACTTAAAGGCAGATGCGGTTGCAGAAAGTACGGTACTCGGGAGACCGTCAGCGTACGAGTTCCTCGTGTAGTCCACTAAACGACAGATGTTAAATCTAGAGTGTAGCTAATAATAAAATATAGCGCTGTTTGTAATGCTGCGGTAGGCAACCTCTCAAACGTCGAACAACAACAGCTTCTTATCCACCGCTTAGTTTATCAGCTGGTATCGGTCAGTCGTCGTTGGTGTTGTCATCCACAATGAAAGGCACGTCCATGAACTCAGGTATCTTGTACTGTGCCTATCCCAGTATCGTTTGAAAAGACGAATGTCGATGTTTAGTTTAGGGAGGATAAGCCAGCTGTGTATGAGATTGTAATTGTTAAACTGACTTGCACGAATGGAGGTCTTACAAGTTTCAAGTTGCTATTTGAATGTCATTATCGTTGGTGTAAATTGCTCTGTGCCTACGCTTGGTTGGTCAGATACGTCGTATTTTGGTTAGTCATCTATATTCTACGATACAATGACATGAGCGTTTCACCGTTCAGAGTTGAGGATATAGATGATAGAAGGAGGTCAGCAAATAAACTCTGCCACGATTTTCCAACCTAGGGCGTCAACCTGAGAAGGGTTGTGGGCGTACTGTTGTATGTCCTACACTTCTTCGAGGGTAGTAAATCGAAGCGCAGTCCATCGTACTTGGTGTGTGATTTTGTACATATGTCCATGTTGTATATACTGAATTGGTATCATCTTTCATCTATCTGTTGGTTAATCTTCTTTCTGTCCGGACATTCTTCAACTTACAATCGTCAACCTGAGAAGGGTTGTAGGCGTACTGGTGTAAGTCCTGCAATTCTTCAAAGGAATTACATCGAGACATGGTCGGTGAGGTTTTGTGTACCATCTGTATACACATGTGGTGTGTCATATCAATTGGTGTTTTTGGATTCACTGTGTTTACTGGTTGTTTTCGTATCTTGTTGTATTGCATAGTTTTGTTAAAATTTTCGCCGTGCTTACTTCTGAAGTTGTTTCTAGTCTTCAACATCCGTGAATGAATTGATTGATGATAAAGACAGCAGATGGGTCTTATACGCCGGGGAGGCTAGGCTAGTGCTGAGGATGACATGCACACGGAGATAATGATTAGCTGTGGAATCGATGATTGAGAATGAATATATCTATTTAGGCTGTGGTCCCACACGCCGGGGGGCGACAGTGTAGACGACTGAGGCTTGCATACGTCACCGTTACTAGAACTGAAGCAGAATGAATGACAAGCGATTACAGTGGTAATTGGTAGTGAATAGATAAGAGGATGTGCGAAGAGTATCACAAGGTGCTTCTATGGTCACGTTGCGTTCTGCAAGAGTCATTCTAGCAAGTGGCGATTGTGTTGCAAGAGGATGTGTCAAGAGGATACCTTTAACTGGAAGGCATAGGTCATCGTCGATGAGTGAGATTGTGCTGTGGGTATACCTACAGTGTGTTGGCTTTGCTGTTCGTTTTCCATTTTAGCTTCTTCAATGTGACCCTGTTTCTCGCACTGGCATCCAAGTTGACGTGTATTGGTAGTGATGGAAAAAAGGGATGGATCCTTTTTTTGCCGGGGAGTGCCGATTTAGTTGAAGATTGAACGATCAATTCATGGTTGTTTACTCAAACCCAACTCCCCCATATTTTTGACGGAGTCATCACTCCGGCAGTTATCGTCTCGTCGTTTTCTGTTCGGTGGAAGAGAGACAACTATCAGAATTATTATCGTGATTTATTGTTTTACCATTTATTCTTAGACCTTGTGTGTAATAACCTTATTGTTGGTTACATATTGGTGTAAGAATAAAGGATTCTGGAGTCGCCAATCTGTGTTCTGGTTATTACACATTGTTTCTGGAAGTCTTCCATGGACATCGTGAGTTCCATTGTAGTCAGTTCTGGACACTGAGCCAGCTGGTTCTAGTGGGGTAAGTTCTATTTTATTTTATTTTTTTTATTTTTGATTACAGCTTGATTCCACACCGTATTTTTGGTACAAGTGTGGAATTTTCAGCGTGGATATCGGTAGCCCAAAATTCGCAGGCCGACCATAGATATCAGGTGTGCGTCGGCGTGGGCTCGAACCCCGGACCATGTGCATGATCGGCACTACTAATAATCAGTTATAAGTAGCATATAGTTAAACGAATTCAGAATAGTTACGATATGTTTCGTGCACTGGAAAAATCAGTCAAAGAAGAACTGTCAGATGAACGTTACAACACTGTAGAATTGAACAAGCTATCGAATATGATATTCGGCCAGTTTGCAGACTATATGCAAATTAAGACTGAAATTTAAGAGATAAGACTTCAATTTCTCTGTATGCTGATGTAGATATCATGTTTCCGGCGATGACTACGTAAATATCGGGACCAACAACATCGGTATACTCTTCTTCTCTTAGAAGGTCACTTGTTGCTCAGACACAGGTTCCGTTTTATCAGAAGTATCACCCAAATGTGTTTACTTATTTCAGTAATCCTTCTAGATAGCATGATAAACATCTCATCTCTATAACGAAAAAATGAGACTCTTGTATCCGTTCAACAGAAACTGTCTATAACACACACTTTTTATCCTTTCTTCAACCATCAGTCAAGAAAACCTAAGGAATAAAACATCGTGGTACTTAAACTAAAGTCCAGACGTGGGTCGTAAAGGGCTCTAAGAACGTTGACACACACTGGTCTCTAGCTCACCTCTGTAGTGAAATGTCGAATAAATTAGACCAAGCTTTCAGAAGTAGATTTAGTTGCTATCTCATGGCAATTCAAATACATCTATGCACTGATTGACGTCATACAGAAACAAAAGTTATGGATGCCCTTCTGCTCATTTGTTTTGCGAACTTACTGACAACCAGCCTCTATAATCGTTCTGTCGGCCAAGCATTATGGGAAATCCCTTAAACACGAGGTATAGACTGCATTCAGTAAGTTCAACAAACCACCTTAATCTCCTATAAATCCCATGCATCCAGGAGGGAGGGCATGACCAGCTCTGCACAAAGCATACCATGGTCTGGTAACCTTCCCAAAACAATTTTCGAGTGTTCATTTCGAACCAGGCAACAATTTTATGAATGCCTATAGAGGCTATATTCATGAGAACGAGGTTATATTCAAACATCCTTTCAGCAGTTTCAATATGCCGAAAGCGTCATAAAGTTCACCTCTGTGACCCTCTAGATATGATAATCCTCTGAAATCAGCAGTTGCAGGATAGTGCATACAACATATAAATTCACCTACTATATCCGCAAATAATCCAGGTCTTACATTCCCAGACAGGAGATCACTTCCAAAAATACACGTGGAACATGAACTTCCAGGCAGTAATCATGTAATAATGGTGAGTTCGTGGAACATTTTTCCTCAAACAATACACGGACATAAATTTGGTCCAACAACCCTGAGATCGTGCACACAAGCCGATAGAAATTTGTATCAGAAACTTATTTAGATGCTCTAATTGGGATTCACGATCTTCGAATAAGTATTTAGAGAAACTGATCACCATTATCTATAGCAATATAAATTAGGTCCATGATGTCAGATTACCAGATTGGCCACTTAGTATCAAATTCCTTTCAGCGACCAATTTATGGTATCGCCAGGGATACATCCTCGAAAGCACACAACGATATGCGAAAAAAATAGTGTTATACGACGACTACAGGAATGAATCTCGGGGTTGTAAAAGCAGCGTACCTAACTGGATTACACACCAAACTGTAGAGCAAAACAACCATTATATGTGCAGGAGAGTTCACACAATTGCTACAAGAATGGAACATTGGTTTCGTGATTCTTCGAGTAATTTATGCAGTTGACATTTTTGGCTTTTGAAGTACTTCACAATCCTATGTCTAAGGCCACGTGTTTAGAAGTAGGAAATGATGGTGAGAAATGCAATTCTAAGGTTATTGTCATAGCCTGGGATTTTCATTGAGCAGCTTTCTGCCGTATCCTACGCTACATTTTCAGTTTGCTAGCTGCATTTAAAAATGAACTTCGGAACGGACTAACCAGATGATAAGGAGGAATATTACATAGTGGCACCAGTATAGATTACTATTATGAGTGCCATCAAATCACAAGAAATCTTCTGACTGTACATACCCTAACCACTCTTCTATCTAGTTCGGCTGTAAGTGGTACCGCCACGTTTTGACCTCGACATCACAACTCACTCTCTCCCTAGCTCAGTAACCAACTTAATATTCAAACTGTTCAACTTTATTAGGTTCGTCTCGAGTTTTCGATTTTTGGAGATAAATACAGTAATGAGAAACTGTTAGGATACACACTTCCGGGCCAGTGCCGCCATAACTCTAGGCATTCTTGTTCGGCATAAATTTGGGAAAAACGAATGAATTTCGATGAACTGTTTGTATCAGAGTGGACTTAGACGATGAGCTCTTCCAAATTTGACAAGCAGACTCCCGTGGTGTTATTGGACAGTCTGAATGATTCCATGAAGTCACTGGTACTTCTGAAGTCAGATTAGAAAAAGAACAAGTGTGACGACAGTAGCAGGCCTTTGTCAATGTAAGGATTGGGTATGACAATGCTAATAAAGTGCACCACTCTTGAAGCGGGCAAAAAGAAATCAAACTGTTCTACACTGGCTTGTAAGAACGATATTGGATATTGGATTGCATTCCCTTGAATTGTGTGACCTTGAGGTGCATAGCATCATCGCAAGCAGTGGGTGCATCTCCGTATTACCAGTGAGTTCACGCGCACGGTACCCTAATTAACGTGGTTTTATAGTTTGGATAAGAAGTTTTTGAATAATGTACAGTACTTTCTTTGCACATCAAAAAAGTTCAGTGTATCCTAGTCAACTACGCCCAGTCGAAGAGTGCACATTGGCAAAGTGGGCTAAATAGACAATTTTGATCGGCGAAAATGTGGTCGAAATGTGGTTAGGTTAAAGTTTAATGGTAGTGTCCCAAGGGATGCGACGCAAGAGTGACCTTCGGCCGACCAACCATGAAAATAAGTGCATAAAAATGACGTATATTCAGGAGAAAATGCATAAAAGCACACTAAACAGGGTGTCTTTCTCTGACATGACTTGAAAATATGTCCCAGTTATGATGGGGAGTATTAGTTGTTTAATTAGACTAGTTTCAGAACAGATTCAGGATTTACTCACTATAGAATGTTAGAATTATTTCAGAGTTAGTGAGATTTAATTCAGTATCATAGTAAGCTTGGGTTCTGTACATGTATTCACCGAGGTGAGTGAAGATGAGCTGTTTATGTGAATTGTTTATCTCTCTTACCCAGTTGTACAGTCTTTCCCGAAGGCCATCGGCTGAATTACTATGGTTTCCAGTAAGAGGATCGGAGACTACTCACCAGGAAAATGTGGATAAGAAAACAGATTAAAATAAACGACATCAACTGTAGGTCTATTCCTAGGTGTAACCCAACCTTAATCCTGACCCTAACTCTAAACTTAACACTAACCCTAATTATAACCCTTATCCTAACCGTAAGCCTAGCCCTAATGCTAATTATGAGCCTAATTCTAACCCCAACGTGCCATCAACACATTGTCCGAACAGTACTTAAAAATGTGATCTAGGTGTAATTTGGTGAATGGCGTTGATATTTCAGCTATGATAATGACAGGTGCCGTTAGCCAACGACTGTCATGCATTCAAAGTCATTAGAGCGTTCGGACTCCTGGGATGCTATTGTTTAACTTCGTCGAAAGTAGCCCAGCTTTTCCCACTTAAAGCCTTTTAAGACCAAAAATAGCCCAATCCCTCCTACTTTCTAATAGAAAACTTCCCGTATGTTTACCCACATATTCCAGATCTGAAAAAATTCTCCGACAGCGGCATACCAGTCAGAAAGTATAGCAACTTTCCTCTGGCTGGTAAAGTGCTTTCTCCACCGTCTCCCAAAAGCGAAACTAGTCTGGTTCTGCCGATTTGTCGCTTTGGGTAGCTTTTGAGTGTCGAGAGTTATCTCTTGATCTTATCTACTAGTAATTAGTATTACACAAGATTAGTTGCCTCATTCAGATTATAATTTAAATGAGGTGACTGTGGAAAATATATACCGCGGCCGAATGACTTTTGTCCATCCAGGCATACCATCAACACTTCAAGATGAACTTATGTATAGGAACTGGTTCATTATGTCCAAAAACTATACCTTTACGGAAAATTAATCTGAAGCATTCTTTATTCTTCACGCAATGAATGTTCTGCAGATTTATTATGTACAGCCCAGGTTTGACTAACTGAATTCCTCTTTTCTGTTGTTGGGATGTATGTTTTGTGCAGTTGTGTTTTTGTATTAACTAGGGTTTCTGAGTGTTCGACTATCGACCAAAGGGCGAGTGTACTGCTTATCAGTCCGCTCCGTCCTCCTTTATGGCTGTGAGACCTGGCCACTGAGAGTGGAAGACATGAAAAGATTAGCTGTCTTTGATCATGTGTGCCTGCGCTCTATCTCCCGTGTGAAGTGGTATAATAAGGTGAGCAATATTGAGGTTTGGCGTCGAGTGCTAGGTAAGGAGAGGAAATCAATAGAGGTTGTGAAGTTACATCGACTGAGATAGTTATTTATTTTATTTATTTTTATTTTTTTATTTTTGATTACAGCTTGATTCCACACTGTATTTTTGGTACAAGTGTGGAATTTTCAGCGTGGATATCGGTAGCCCAAAATTCGCAGGCCGACCATAGATATCAGGTGTGCGTCGGCGTGGGCTCGAACCCCGGACCATGTGCATGGTCGGCGAGAGTCCTAACCACTGTGCCACCGACGCACATGTGTTACGTATGTCTAGCCATCGCCTTCCTCGACGAGCAATGTTAGCGGATATAGGGTCAGGCTGGAAAAAAGCTAGCGGCGGTCAAACGAAAACTTGGCACCAGTCAATGAAATCCACAACAGTTGGTCTAAGCCACGTAGGAAGGTGTAGACTTCCTGACTGGTTGGGGTCCTCGGGACGGTAAAAATCTATGGTTGGAAACAATTGGTGACATGGCTCAAAATCGTTCTCAGTGGCGCAGATGCATCCACTCCTTGTGACATATGATCTTCACCAATGAAACTGTTTTGTTTTTCTTTATTACTCCTCTGTCTCACACCTCTGCCCACTGTTTCTGTTATGCTTTTCATGTACTTTCTTCTCTTGCTTCGCGTGCTACACGGAGTGTGGCGACTTGAACTTCCGCACATTTGTGCAAAGTTCTATGTCGAAAACAGACAGACAGGGTTTCTGAGTACTCGTGCCGTAGGCAGTTTTCTGCGTATGTATGAATTATAAGCATTATGTGTTTTATTTGTGATGTAAGGATCTAGCTCTAAAAATGAAGGGATTTTAGTATCAGCCCCTAATTTCCTATTGTCCCCATTGATTGTTAATGAAGATGAGTTCCAACTTTAAGTTCAATGGCTAGAACCAATCTCCCAAATTAAAGAAAAATATAAATGATCTTGCTCTAAATGTTTTTTCCGAAGGACTAAAATCCCCAAGTATAGATTCTTGTTCTAAGTGTAAGTTGTATCAATTATTTGATTACTCAATTTTTATGAAAATAAATGACATGAGTATCGTACATAGCTTATTTTGCTGTTATATCCCTTCGATCACTGAATTATCGTTTCTCATCCGTGAAGAATATAGGATTTAAATCTGTTTCATCATAATTTTGTGAGTACACAGCTAAAGGAACAGTTTATCTGTGTGCATTCGATAGTTGCTACTCGATCGTCATTCTTCGTAGCACTTTGTTGCGCTTACAGGATTTGAAATCGATAGATCTTGTCAAGTATTACGATTACTGTGCTTTTTTCTATAGTATTCAGTAAATTCCATAAATCAAAGAGTAGTTCAACCCAGTTCAATTGGGTTTTTGCGGAAAAATATGCTTCTGATAGTCCTTTTGACGTGGTGGAGGGATTATGCAAGTGTTTTATATTTTCTTTACTTAATAAAAGAAATAATGGTTCATTTTTGATGAATTTTCCTAGCTTGTGTCTTCTGGAAGTTTATCCACTGCACTAGGAAGTGGGTTTCTGTCCGGCGGAGCACTACAGCAGACTTCGTTCTGCCAAGTTTCGAGTGTATTCGTTATTCTCACCACCTGATTTTTCAAATCAGACTAGTATCGAAGGAATTTAGAAATGTCTTACTCAAATAAGCATGAAGTTATATTTCTAGACAAAAAGGACGCCCGTTCAACTTTACGTCTTGAAGATTACTATGACATTGATCGTAAGTTCTCAAAACCTGGATTCCGTACCGAAAGTGGTCAGTTCAATTGGCACTGTTCTTGTGTTAGTTCGTACATATCTGGTCCATGTGGATACTTCTTCAGAAACTTTATGCAAAACATAGACAAATTTATGAAAAATGAGGATGCTTTTGAGAAGCAACAGAATCGCAATTTATTTGTTAAACTTCACTCTGAACTAATGGGTTGTTTAAAATCTCATTCAGTGTACTACAAGTCTTTTATGGATGAATATGCCTCACCTTTGGATAGTATAATTAAAGATGTTGAATGAAATAACTGAAATATAATTAGCTTCCACATTTTCTTCATATTTGTCTTTTGATTTCGATTTCAGTAGTTAGCGACTAAATGGCGTCTGACAGATGTGGATATTTTATCAAAAGTAAGCAGAGATACTGCCATCAGCAGCTTTTTCAGGGTTCGAATTATTGTTTCACTCATACGGCGAAGTTAAACTTTCGACACTACTAACTACCAATCAGCGAATTATCCAATGAGATTCACGAACGATGTCGAATTATCCAATGAGGTTCACGAACGCATTTCAATGTTGTATAGCGCTTGATTCATTTCTAATGCGTGACCTTACGAAGCTATTGTTGCAATTCGAGGAGGTTAGCGTTTTCCAGTATTTCCTGGATTTGAGTTGCACCGGAAAGAGCGAATTTGTTTGTGTGGTGTTATCATGACTTTAAAAAGCTATACCAAATCAACTGATGGGTTTGTTCATCGTTGTGCTATACGTTTGAAGCCTACTAACGCTAGAAAGAGTAAGCTGATAATTTTAATATTTCGTAGGAACTTTTTTCGCTAGGTCACTTCTCTCCCTAAGGATAGCAGATAGAAAAGCAACTACTCTTATACCTATTATTACCAGACTTGTTAAGCGGGGGTCAATTATACACACCGACGAGTGGAAAGGTTACAATTCACTGTCATCTCTGAGATATATTCATCATAGAGTCAAACATTCAAGTGATTTTGTGGATCACGTTACGAGGACACATACAAATTCTAATGAAGAGTTTTGGGGTAGGTTGAAAAATAGGATAAGGGCTATAAATGGATCTCATTTATGGTCATTTGGATGAATATATATACAGGATATGGTGTAACTTCTCCATTGACGGTCCCATGCTAAACTGGGAGATGTTTCTCTCACATGTTCGAGAAAGATGTCCCATGTAACTTTTTTATTCTCTATTTTATGTTTTTTTCTACAAATATACATTTCCATTCATCATATATGCCTCTTTAATGTGACTGGTCCGTTCAAGGTCGTTTGCTGATTGGTTGTTAGTGGTGTCGAAAGTTTAACTTTGCCACTCATACAAGTGTAAGTATGTAGTATTTCGCGTAACTGCTGTTTAGGAAACTTCGACAGATAAGGTAGCTTGTCCTCTGGATCCAAAACAGTAAGACGTCCGTAGAATTAACATCAATCCACAGCTTTGTCAATCGTTCAAATCTTGAAGAACACTTGAAAAAATGCAATGCAAGTCGAAAAGTTGAAGCTGTAAGCTAATGATTTCTTACATTAGTTAGTTTACAGACTTATGAAGTACGTGGAATTAATTCCGGTGGTTTAGGTCCCTGTGCACCCGTTTCGACAGTGACATTAGCTTCTGCGTCTGCATCAGCTTTGTTGAAGTCGATATTTTGATTATTGCTTCCTTTGGTTCCTAGTGGAACATATGGCTTCAACTGCACCTGTGCATTTACCTCTGTCTTCTGCTCTACTTTTCGCCTGCATCCATATTAATCCATATTCTTTCAACTCGTCTTCACACGACCTCCTCCATGTCACCCTTGGACGTCCCACACGCCGCTTCCCTTTCGGGTTCCACTCGAGGGCTTGACGTGCGATGTCACACAGCGGTCTCCTCAGCGAGTGTCCGATCCATCTCCACTTTCTCCTGCATATTTGTTGGGCGATTGGTTCTTGCTTTGTTTGTTCCCATAATTCCTTGTTGGTGATTCTTTCCGGCCATCTGATCTTCAGTATTGAGCGAAGACAGTTGTTAATAAAGGTCTGCAACCTTTTGGAAATATTCTTTGTGACCGCCCGCCAAGTTTCTGATCCGTATAGAAGAACTCACTAACTTGACGTTTGTATTGAAAATCCGAGAACTTTGTTGTTGATGCTGAGTGACGAAGATTTCCAGATTGATTTCGGATTGATGAGTGTTTTTTTCGCCTTCCCCATTTCACTCGATTTGACATCCTCGTCCCTTCCTCCTGTAGTTGAGACAATGCTCCCTAGATAAGTGAATGAAGTAACCTCTTTCAAATCCCTCCCGTTGATGGTGATTGGCGTTGGATGTTGTTGCTGTTGTTGGTTGGTTATTTTCATAACCTCCGTCTTGTCTATGTTTACCTGGAGTCCTGTCTTCGCTGGCTGCTTCTTCGACCAGTTTGTCGGTCGGTTTTCGCTTGTGTGTGACATCAAACATAAATCATCCGCGAAATCCAGGTCTTCTAGGTTCTTCACGTCGGTCCAGGATATTCCTGTCTTCTCGTTTCCCACTGTCTGACGCATAATCCAGTCAGTCCACCACAATTAGGAATATCATTGGTGATAGTAAGCACCCTTGTCTGACTCCTGTGTTTACTCCAAACGCCTCGCTGAGTTTCCGTTGTGGATCACTTGACATGTGCCGTTGTCGTACAGCTGTTGAATAAGGTTGATGAATATTTGGGGTACGCCATAGTACTCGAGTAATTTCCAAATTACTTCACGGTCAACGCTGTCGAAGGCCTTCTCAAAGTCTATAAAGTTGAGGTAGAGGTTTGATTGCCATTCCATGCTTTGTTCGATGATGATGCGTAGAGTTGCAATTTGGTCAGTACATGATTTGCCTTTCCTGAATCCAGCTTGTTCTGGTCGGAGTTCTGTCTCCAGTGCGTCCTTTAATCTCTCCAGGATGATGCGACTCAGGATTTTACTTGGCGTCGATAGGAGCATGATTCCTCGCCAGTTCTTGCATAGTGGAGCCTAAGTCGCCCTTCTTTGGTAGTTTCACGAGGTAACCTTTCCTCCAGTCAGTAGGCACCTTTCCCTCCTTCCAGACCTTTTGCAATAATGGAGTCAGCATGTCTGCTGTCGTCTCTGGGTCTGCTTTCAGTGCTTCAGGGGGTATTCCATCTGGTCCGGCTGTTTTTCCAGCTTTCAGAAGTTTGATTGCATTCAAGACTTCAGCTCTCGTTGGAGGATTGGTGTCAACTTGCAGTTGTGTGCGCGCTGTTGTTGGTATTTCTGGACGGGTTGCAGGTGATGGTCGGTTCAAGAGTCCTTTGAAGTGATCCGCCCATTGTTTAATCTGTTTTTCTTCCTTGGTAATTGGGTTCCCTTGGCTGTCTTTTATAGGTTTCGCTTGTGTTGATCTCTTCCCGGATAGAGATTTGGTTATCTGATATAGTGTCCTCAGGTCCCTTTTGCCTGCTGCCTTCTCAGCTTCAGTGGCCAGGTTGTCGTAGAATCGTCTTTTGTCCTTCCTAGCACTCTTCTTCACTTCTTTGTCCAGTGCTTTGTAAGTTGAGCTCAGCGTCTCCTTCTCCTGTCCGTCCTTGCATTGAATCATTTTCTCTTTCACCATTCTCCTCTCTTCTATTAATTTCCAAGTGTCCGTTGAGAGCCATTCCTTGTCTTGTCTCTTCTTTCTTCCTAGAACCGTTGAACACGTTTCGTTGAGAATCGCCTTCAGAGACTTCCAATGTTCTTCCACGCATGATTCTTCAGTGATGTCGCGTAGTGTTTCCTGCTTTGCTCTGACAGTTGCAGTGAAAGTGTCTTTTGTGGTTGTGTCCTTCAGTAATTGAGTGTTGAACTTGCATTGTGGCCTATCCCCAGCTATCCTCGAGGCTTTTAGTTTCACCTTGAAAGTCCCTTCTACTAGATAGTGGTCTGAACCCACATCTGCTCCTCTCCTTGACCTTGTGTCCAGTAGGCTCCGTCTCCACTTTCTTGAAATTGAGATGAAGTCTATTTGGTTCTTGGTGTTTCCATCTGGTGAAATCCATGTCGTCTTGTGTATATCCTTGTGTTTGAACACACTGCCACCAATCACCAAATCATTGAAGGCGCAGAAGTCTGAGAAGAGTTCACCATTGTCGTTCATTTTGCCGAGGGCCTCACGACCCATGGTGAGTTCTCTTCCTGTGTTGTCTCCTCCCAGCTTCGCATTCATGTCGCCCATCAGGATTTTGATATCGCCATTTGGGACGTTGTCCATTATTGCTTGTAGTTGTCTGTAGAACGCCTCCTTCTTCTCTTGTTCTGAGACGTTTGTAGGCCTGTATCATTGAATGACTGTAACTTTCCTTCCTTTTGAGTTGAACCTGGCTGTCATTATCCTGGAGGAGATTGGTTCCCACTGCATGAGAGCTTTGGTTGCTGTTGGTGACATCATGATGGCCACTCCCTCGGTGTGCTCATGGTTGTCCTCTGGGTGGCCGGAAACGATTACTGTCTCTCCAGTAGGTAGTTGGCACCTTCCAGTTCCGTTCCATCTGCTCTCGCAGATTCCCAACACTTCTATTCTGTACCTTCTCATTTCAGCGGCTATCTGGGCAGCCTTTCCAGTTTCGTACATTGTGCGAACATTCCAGGTACCCATCCTTACTTTTGCTTTCATCGAAAGAAGGCACATCGGCTGACTGGCTTCCCGAAGGCTTTCACCAGCCTGCGTCATTTCACTTCCCCGATTCCAGCGAAAAGTAAGGCTATTGCTTATGTTTTTAGAATTTTTAATATATTTATTCGTTGAAGTTTCTGTAGCGATTTGGTTGTTTTACAGGGGTGGAGTTGCTAGCACCACGCCCCAACCCTCCCTCTTTACCCCGGCTTGGGACCGGCTAGAAAACTAGTAAGCTAGTAGCCTAGCAAGCTAGTATCAGGCGACTTAATTGTACGTTTAGAGAAATTAAATGCAGGTCAGATAAATTTCTTATGACATGTTTGGTGTGCGTTCAAAGTGCAATAAATCCTAGGGATTTTCATTATTTTACACATGATCAAGCCATTCTCTACGTGTGAAACAGTTAAAGAGTGTAGATAGTCCAGTTTACAGACGCATTTTTGTTTCTCACCGTGGCGTTCATTTAAAACTAATATAACTTCACTATCAGCTGTTGTACAAGTCTTTTAAGTGGTAATTCCCTCACTTAGTGTTTATAAGCAGCAAAAATGCTTCTAGTGTAACAACAGAAGACAAGGGCCAGGCAACAAATCGTTTTATTATGAAAATCAACACGTATTTATACATCTTTCAACTACATTATTATAGACAAGCGCAGTCATCTGATTGGTTG